AGGGAGCAGGTGTGTGGTTCTGGGCCTCAGCAGGGTCGCAGGTGCACTGTGCAGCACGGCTTTCAGAATTGCGCTTAGGGCGGTCCTGGGAACTCTGGCTCAAGGCCAGGCTGCCCAAGAGTGATTGGAAGCAATGTAAACTGCCTTTTAAGAGGACGATGGGAAGTTTCAAGGCAGTTAATCATAGTATTGGCCTTTTATATCTTGCAGTCTGTCCTGGGGTGAGGTTGAATGTGACAATCTAAGAGACTCTGAAGAGCCCTCGGTACTGGCTGATGTGGTTGTAATGACGTGATGCCTGCTCTGCGTGCTGCGCGATTAGTGGGAAAATGACCTTTCGTTCCTTCAGCCTGGTGGGTGGATGTTCTCACTGGGATGAGCAGTGAAAGGTGGTGGAGATCTCAGGCCTCCTGCAGCAGTTACACACCACCTCCTCTGCATCTCCCTGCTAGCGTTTGTAAAAAGCCTCGTCTGAGACTGTGGTTCCTCGTCATTCACCAACTGAAACAACCAGAATTTCAAGTGCATCTGTGTGCGAGTGCTTTTCTGTTCAGCCACACGTGATTTGGTTACAGTAAACTCTTTGTCCATATTTCTAAGGTAAATTTTAGATGCCCGGGCATATTTCTTTCCATGGTAGAAATTCAAGGCTGAGGACAAACATACTTAACTACCTGTAGACATAGGAAGGGCTTCTGAACAAGGATTGCTGAGTTTATTCTAGAAGTCCAAGGGAAGACAGAACAAGGGAAATGACTTGAAAGTGGGCAGTGTGGCCGTCATGCATAGAGCCTGCGCTTCTGTAATTAGTGTTTAGCTGTGCCTTGGGTTCTAGGGACAACCTCGGCTCACCAGGAGGGGAGGTGGTGGGCTTTGCCTGCTCGCCAGAGGAGCTCTGTTTGTGCCTCTGGCTTTATTTGAAGCGTGAAGGCTAGTCTCGGGTGCTTTCATTGCAGTATGCCAGGACACCAGTCCGGAGGTTTCCTGCAGCCTAATGAGAAGCCTCAGCTTTGCCCTTTTCACTCATGGGATCCGGATGCTCTGGGAACAGAGGCAAATGTTAACATTAAGTCAAGCAGAGCACACTGTGAATGCAGATCATGTTAGAACTGCATGTCCATTTGAAACAGTTGTACTCAACTGACTACCTTTTATACTGTTAATCTTTAAGATGTGGTTTTTCAAGTGTGAAATCAGATACATTTTGGTTAACATTGTCACAGCATTGTGTCATAGTTCAATTCACAGCATTTTTTTTTCCTTCTGAGTGAAACCTAAAATGGTGGTACTTCTGCAAATAATAGCAGTATAATTCAAATAAAATGATTAGTGCATAAAATGCCACATTTCTAAGGGCAAAACTCCTCATAGGTTCTTTCCTGCTTTTTGCTTCCATAGAGGTGACAGTGGCACCGGGAAAGCCCAGCTGTGGCTGTAGATAGTGTTTGTGCTTATCCTTGAGAAAGGTGTCATGTTTCTCCTGTAGCCGGGGCCCTGTGCCTTCCATTTATTAATAGTCGGTGTTCTGTAATGTTTCACTGGCTGATTTTGCACCGTTTTGTTGAATGATTGGGAAGCAAGACCATAAAAACGAGATTCTGCTTAGTAGTAATTAATAAAAGAAAGTAATACATTTCTTTCAAGAGGAAACTAGACTGCATAAAAAAGAAAAAGTCATGGTCCATACAGGATCAACTGTGAATAGCAGTTCTAGATGCTTAATAATGTAGAGGCTCAACACTGATGCAGCCACATTTAGAAGAAGAACTAAAAGGAGAAAGGACAAGCTCCGCGGGTGTGGTTTGTTTTGGCTTTTGGTTGTGGTGGGGGGAGGTAGTGAGCCAAACATTCAAATTCTTTGTTGGGAAATCACTTTTAATTCCTCCTCTGTCTCAGTTCCCCTTTTCTCATCTGTGTGCCTGTACATAGTGAGCCTGTTCTTTTTATATAATTGTAGCCCCCAAATGTTAGGCCAAAGTTTGTATTTGTTACTAAGTTGGAAAAAAAAAAGAAAACCAAGTGCGTATTCTATGTGGACTTTTGCTCTTAAACCTTCAGTTAATTCAACTATAGTAGTTATCACCCCAGGAAGCTTGTATGCTAGTGAGAGGGATAAAACAAGTTTGTTTGTTTTTAAAGATTTATTTATTTATTTATACAAGAACCGGGGTACAGGCCAGATGCTCGGGAGGGTGTGAGAGGATTCACCAGAGAAAGAGCGGGGAACAGAACAGGAAGCCTGACAAAATACACTGCTGAGGGGAGCAGCGGGCGGCAGGAGAGGTCTGCACGCCATGTGGGACCCTCCTCTGGTGGCCGGGGAGCAGCCAGGGATCGAACCGGCGCTGCAGAGGCTGCGGGCAGCTTCACAGCGCGGCGCTCAACCGCCTGTGCAATCAGGGGAGGCCCATAAGACAACTTTTTAAATAACCCAAAGTAGTTTTTAAAAAAGCTACTATGAGACAGGGTCGTACGACCTTTGTGTATTCAGAGGGGAGAGAAGACTCTCGGTGTGGAGGCAAGAGATCAGGAGACCAGACTGTGAACTGTGGGTACATTCGGGGCCCACTGATACCCCGGGCTGATGAAGTGTGCTCAGGGAGTGGCCAGTTAGGGTTTAGCTGCAGAATAAGAGTAGAGGATAAGCAAAACTGCATTAAAAGAGACATTGACTGAGAAACACCAGTGCCTTTTGTGGAGCGTGGCTGGTAGGAGGGCCTGTGAGTGTGCATCAGAGTGGAGACAGGAGGACTGGCTCAGCACACTGGCTTTGGTCGTGGAGTTCTGGGCTCTCACCTTTGCCCATCCATGCAGTAGAGATCGCTGCTTCGTAGAAAGCTTGAAATTACAAGAGATGCCTTAGTGATATCATTGCTTCATTCTCACTGCAAAAAGAACAACAAGAGTTATTTCATTTTGCAGCACAAAACTCTGAAGCAAGAGAATGGCATGGTGTTGCTTTTGAGCAGTCCCAGGGTAGACTTGGAGAGGGTGCTGATACTAGGGCAGCTGGCCGGTAATGAAAGTGTCCTCGGGCATCCAGATACGTCAGTGGAGGCCTGAACTAAAGCAGAGCCTATGGGAATTGACATAACGCGCTGAATATAAGAAGTATTACAAACACAAAGTCAACAGAATGATCTGAACAAGGGAAACCCTGTTACTTGGGGTGACAGTGGCTTCGTTCATGGGGATAGGGTTGCGGTTGCTGCTGCCTTCGGAAATGGGGGAGCATGAAAGTGTTTTAAAATTGGAGAAATCCCACTGGACACCCCAGTAAAGTCATTCATCAAGCAGTTGGAAGTGTGTGGAGAAGTGACTCAGAAGTAACTCAAAGCCTCTGAGTTACTGTGGAAGAGGGTGAGAAGTGAGAGGAAGCAGGGCATGGAGAGGGTGGCTCTTTCAGGACTTCGGGTGAGGATGAATTTTGAAAAGAGAAACAAGTCATCATTTTAAAGTTCCACAAAAGTCCAGGATAATGGAGATTAAACAAGGCCACTGGCTGTGGGGATTCGCTCGAGGCAGTGACCTGCCCTGGCGCTGCTGGCAGTGGCACAGTGGGCGCAGAGGAGCCAGAGGGCGGCGACACCTTAAAGCCTCAGCGGCAGAGGGGAGGCCACCTGAAAGCAGACCCTGGTTTGCCACAGGGTTTCTCAACCAGTGACCATGGGGTCTGAAGGGCCTGTGTTATAGGGAAGTGTCCCGTGCATTATAGAACTACCACGCCCAGCTCCGTCAAGTTACCACAACCAAAAATGTTTTCAGCCATTGCGCGATGTCCTCTGGGGTTGCTGTCCCTGACGAGAGCCACAGGTCTGCAGGGCTGACTATGCAAGGCAGCCCCTTCTGCCACCCTGTCTGCTGGCGCTGGCCTCCTGCAGGGGGGCAGGGAACTGACTGGGGCAAAGGGGAGACCACATGCCTCCAGGGGATGCCCAGGAATCGGCCACCTCAGGAGGGCAGGGATCATGACTCAGTGAATGTAGAAAAGGCTGCTTAACACTTGAAATCTGTGCCAAAGTGACAGTGATTGAGTAACAGAAGATTGTGCAGCGTGCCTGTGTGTCCCATTGCTGTTGGTGACACCCAAGTCTTTCATTTGGGGTGAAAAGCACAGATTGTGAGCTGCATTACAAGCAGGCATTGCGGGCACAGGTGTGCCTTCTAGAAGCAAAGGTAGAATTGGCGGTGCTGTGGACTTTAAGAGCACAGATCCATTGACTTGTTTAAATCAGTTGGCTTGTAACGGTGGACATTTCATTAGAGAGACCCGCGTAAAGAGCTTTCAGGGTTTGAAGTGAGGCCTGTCCCAGAAATGCCCTTTTAGGTACCTCTACCTGAGTCAGCCAATTTGGGTATCTTGTGTGTTTATAAGGATGTGATTAAGCAAAGTTATTTTTTTAATTAAAAAAATGTAGCTTGAAGTTCTTGTAAACAAATGTTTCATTCAAAATAGGATTTGATAGTCACATTGCCAAGTGCAGTATGTTGGTGGCATTGTAGTGGTCGCTCTCTCTACCCTTACTAACCTTAAGAATTTTGAGGGTCCTCCCTCCACCTATTGTTAACAGAAATTGGAGCTCCTCCCATTTGTGGATTGGATTACTAGTTCTTTCCTTTCCAGTAGAACCAGCTGCAGTCAGCACATGGTGTCACCTCTATTTTTAAGACTACTGCTTCATAAGCCTTGCTTCTCTACTCATAACCAAGCTAAAAGCATCTTCCTTACATTTCCTTGTTACTTGATTGTTAGCAAATCTTGATCAAGAACAGCCTTGGGGACGAATCCTTCAGTTTTCTTTGAATCCAATTGTGACCTCTTAGGAGGATGGAGCAATTCGTTCTATGCCTGAATCACCGGGGAACTGCACAAAATTTCTGCTGCGGAGCCTCAGTGAGCAGTCAGAGTTCACAGATGACTTCAGGGTTACACCTGCTCCCAGGAGGCAGAACATATACTATGTGTGTAATAATAATAACCGGAGCTTGCTTGCCTGCAGGGAGAACGCTGGAGAACCAGACTCCTGGAGCAGTTTATCCTATGAGATTCCTTGTGGAGACTGTTCTGTGAGGCACCATCGAGAGTTGGACATTTATACGCTAACCTCTGAGTCCGAATCACAGCATGAACCCCCGTTGCCTGGAGACCCTTGTACTGGCCATATCTCTAAACTTATGAACATCCAGCGGCAGCTAACGGTAAGGTGGAGCGCGTCCATCTCCAGGCTTCTGTGCCCCCAGCCCTTTCCCCAGCAACCGTCTCACTGCGATTAGAACATGGAATGCTTCCCTCTCAGATTTGACACCTGTCAAGCTGTGTTAGCCGTGAGATGTCACCACTCACAGACTCAGAACTAACCCTCGCCTGTAGCAGTGGGGGACGGCCGGGAGTCTTCAGTGGTTTTGAAATAATGACAGGTACATGTCCACGTTGCCAGTACAAAAATAGGTAATAACTAGAGCTAGATTTTCCTGACATCAAAGAAAATTTGTCTGTTCGCTTAACTTTATAAAATGAAATAAGCGAAATAGCTTCTGAGACTGTCGCTAAAAAACAGGAACCAAATTCACTCAGAAATAAAGGCTTTTCACAGTTATTTCATTGAGTGATGATAGTGTTACTACATTTAAATGGATAGTCGTACGGTCAAAAGATCACTACAAAAAAATAAAGACTTTATAATCCACTCAAGCCTTCAAGATAAAGTTGTTGCCAGACATAAAATCATTACAGGCTCCTGGAAGCATTTGTCATGGATAATATAAGTATCACATGGGTACATCTTCCTTGGCCACAACATCTGAAAGGCTAAGTTTAGATAATTTTTCCACCCAGTTTACTTCAGAGCTGATTTGATTTGGGAATATCTTGACAGTAATTTAATTTCAGGTCATGTAGGGTCAGTTCAGTTCCAGAGGCTTCTTTGGGAGCTTTATTTTTGAGAGCAGCAGCCAAGACACTTCATAGAGGGGTGGACCAAGGTGCCTGCCTGGGCCTTTTGGAATCACTGTTGTTCTAGAACAGGTGTCATTCCGTGTCCCTCTGGACGTCAGATGTTCCTTTGGCGTTCTCCTCGGGAGGTGAACGTAATCCGCTTGAAAACATTAGTTTGCAGGTGCCAAAGCTCTCAGCAGGATAGTAGGAAGAGATGCAGGAATCCATGAGAAATTAAAACTGTGAGAGGATGGGTTTATCAGGAGCTTCTGAAAATTTTCTAGCCACACCGCTTGTTTCTCCCAACCTCTGTTCTGTAGTGTTAACCCTGCATTAAATTTAATGGCCTGCCTTCATAATTTTCAGAAGACGGGTTCAGCAAGAAAGAGGCACATTAATTTTGAATACTCCAAGGAGCATAGTACAGAGTGTGAGCAAAAGCCGCTTTCCTTGCTCTTTCTTACAAGGCCTTCACCGCGCATAGCACACGTGCACACGTGTAAACTTCGCGGTAGTCTCGGAACGAGACAGGAATGGCCTGAGGATGCATGTTGGAGGCACTCAGCATGTTTACTAAGTGAACGTCTCTTCCAACACACTGGGTAGCGCGTGAGGAGCAGTAGTTTTTGTGTTGAAAAACAGTATTACTACAAAACTTCAAAAAATTTTGACAGAAAGGCAAATCAGATCAGCTGGTTTATTTTCCTTTATTTTTCTAAATCTTGTCTACATGCACAGGTGATTTTTGCAAAATTTAACCTTAGTTTAACCTTAGGTTTTATTTATTTATTGACATTGTATTATAAATGCCTTGTTAAAAAATTTCATTGTATTCTTCATAATTGACATATACACAACAGGGCAGCCTTTTCCACCAGGTTGATGAACCATGGTTATCTTAACCATTCCTGTGTAGTTGGTTATTTTTATTTGCATTAAAAAAAAAAACAACAACTTTAAAGTTGCCAAATGAGTTTTTGACATGGCCTATAATATCCTGAAGCCATAGCACCATCTGGGAATAATCAAGAATTAGCTATTATGGGCTTGATATGTTCTCATTTATTATTCAGCCTTAGACAACAGAGGAACAGTTTTATCAAAAAGTAAAAGAATTCTGTGTACTGTCCTTGAAATTATGAATCCGTTACTAAATGCTGGATTGGATGGGACATGTTTTGGTGATGTAACAATGCCATGTAGCTCCTCAGGAGGAATTTGAGGCCCCCCAAGCCCCTGCTTATGCTGTGATTGTGGGCGAGCCGATCTGCTCCGGATTTGTCTTTACCTATATGTGTGAGGCAGGATGGAAGCAGCTTCTGCCCCTCTAAAATCCCTTTAAAGATATTGTTCTTAGCTGCTCATTTGAAAGTAGTTTTTGTACTTTAAAAAAGTAAGGATTTGCAGCTTAATTTTAATCTACTTTCTAAAATAAATTCCTATGACAGAAAATAGTCATCTCGTATATTCTTGACAGTGTTCTTCATTCCAGCTATAAAAGAGGAAGCGGGCGAGGGGGTGGGGGATGTTTATTTGTATTTATGTCAAGATTTATTTTCTGTGACCTTAGAAGGGCTGGAATGGCAGTGAGTTCTCTCCAGCAGGGTTTTTGCTTATAGGCTTTAGCAACATTTTTTCCCAGGGACAATTTTTAAAAAGTGTCTTTGATTTCCTCCAGAAAACAAGCTTCAAGCAGATGGACAGTCTTCTGCCCCCAATGGTGACAGCACAGGATCCCTCATGCCTGCCTGGCGGTCCAGCGGCAGACGGCCAGCATCAGCCCTGCGCATCAGAGCCCACAGCTGGCCAGCAGCTTTCTCCTGAAGACGCCGAGAGCTCTCCAGGCTGCCCCGGGAGCCCAGCTGGGCAGATTGGACAATCCTCTGATTTGTCAAGTGTGTACAGGGAGGAGGATACAGACTGTTCCTGTCAGAAGAAAAGTAAAGGCAGGGAAAGTAAAGGGGAAGCAGAGCTGACACCGACTGTGGACCCTGGCGCTGTGCCCGACCCCCACAGTGGAGGAGAGCACACGGGAGGCCTTCCGTCCTGCAGAATCCGAAACGGAGATCCTGGGACAAAGTCCTCTGCAGGGGCCGCAGACCAGGCGTCTCCAAACAGGAGTGACAGTGTCCCGCGGGGAGACCTGTCGGGAGAGCCAGGCACTGTGGGGCCGGTCATCCCTTCCGCCTCAGAGGCCTGGGTCCCCGAGACTGCAGGGGCAGCAGAGCCCGAGCTCGGGAACCCAGAGGAGGCCCCCCTCCAGAGGACCGAGTCGGAGAACACCAGCACAGCCGGTGCCTCTGACGGCCAGGTCTCAGGCAAGCCTGCCAGTGTTCCCAGCTCTGCCTCTGCCACGCTTTCCTTGGGTGGTCACAACCCCGCCAAGCCTTCACTTGTACTGAGTAATGGAGGAAGCTCCACTGAGAAAGCCGCAGACTCTGAAACTTCAAGAAGTTGTGATGAGAACAGTGCTGTCCCTGGAGGTCCAGATGTCCTGGGGATTTTGCCTGCTGCAGAAACCAAGATTTCACATGGGTCTGAAGCCGACTGTCCCTCTGCAAGCGTGTGTGAGGTGACGTCAGCCTCCGATCTGACCTTCCCCAGGCCAGAAACAGATGTCAGCCCGTACCAGAAATCAGAAATGAATTCATCTCACAGTCCAAGCCAAATGAGCAAGTCACCCATAGGCTCCACAGCGGGACACGATAAACTTTCTGTGGCCTCTGCATGCCCCCAGAACACAGTCATTTCTAGGGGTGTGCCAGCTGCAAAGCCTTGTGATGACCCCGTCGCCCCACCTGAAAGTGCTCCCCCAGAGCTGCCCAGCACACAGCATCTGCCCACCGCCATCTGCCGTGAAGACCCACAGGCCTGCACAGTCACCCCTGACCATGCTGGAGCTGCCCAGGTGCCCGTGGATTGTTGTCCTCTTGGAGTTGTGGATGAAGAGGGCCGGGGAACAGACACAAAACTGGAAGCATCTTTAACAAACACACTTAAGGTGGCTCCACATCCATACCCTGCTGTACCCGAAATTGAGAAAGAACTGGTACCAGGCCAGACGATGACATCACACAGGACTTTCTCTCCGGCAGGCGGTGCAACATGTGAATCAGTAACCAAAGATGACGTGCTTTCTTTTGTCCCCTCCCAGAAAGAAACGGGAACAGCAACTTCTGAACTACACACAGCTGCAGATGGTAGCGATGGCCCTGGCGGAGAGTGCATTGGTGGAGCTAAGCAGCTGCTAGATGACCGTGCGGCAGGCCTCTCGTTGTCCACTGCTGCCCTTGATCTTCAGCCCAGCATGGGGAATGCCAGCCCCACAAGGCTTGTGGGGGAGCATCAGGGTCCCTGCCTCTCGGCAGTTCCTGGGCATCCGAGTCTCGAGGGGAGTGCTGACTCTTCCCTACTGCTCGTGGGAGAGGCCGCCTCGCTCTCGGATTCCATTTTGACTGAGGAGGGAAGAAATCTGGTGGTTTCAGAAAGCTCTGTGGCTCAGGGACGAGACGACAAGGACAAAGCAGTGACTTCTTCCTCCCTGAAGGAGGTCCTTCTTTCTTCCGGAACTCTGCTGGAAGAGCAGAGAGCACCTTCTGGACCAGATGCCCCAGGACTCCTTGGAGAACCTGACTCAGCTGCCTGTGCTAAGGACAGAGCACTCCATGGCAGCTTCCCAGGCGCACCCTCAGCCTGTCTTCACGTAGAAACTCAACAGAACGAGGAAGTGGCCCCACCAGTCTCCAGGCTGCCTGAAGGTGGGGCTGCACCAGTCAGGGTGCCAGCAGGAGCAAGCCTGGCTGTCGACGGCGGCCCGGAGGCCTCGGGGGCTGCCCAGAGCAGCTCCCCTCCACTGCGAGCTCTGTTACCAGATGGGTCGGAGTCTCTTAACTGCCACCCGTCATTTGCTCTGGATGTTGATGTGAAAAGCACTCAGAACCAGGGGGAGAACTCTGCTTGTGAGATGAGTGGGAACGTGTGGGAGGTGGCAGTGGCTGATGCTCCACCAGGTCCCACTGGAGCCAGAAGGAAGGGTAGCTCACACAGCCCCCGAAACCCCCTGACTGCAGAGCGCCTCCTGAGCCCGGAGAAGAGCATGAACCGGGGTGTGCCAGGAGCACCCCCAGGCAAAGGCGTGACTGACCAGCAGGCCGCTGCAACCCCAGAGATGGTGCCTCTTGGTGGGGAGACAGGGAAACCAGAGGGAGCTGAGCCCCACTGTCACCTGGGTAGCCCCAAAGAGGCGCAGGTAGATGGTGGAGCCCAGCACACCCCTCTGCAGCCTGCTGCCAGGCAGTCCCGCACAGGGTCAGGGCTCGCCCAGAGTGCCGCTGACCAGACCCCATGCTGGGAGAGCGGGGCCCTCCCACCACCTGGCACTGTCTCTGCCACCGCCGTGCCTCTGCCTCAGCGGGCCGACGCCATCATGGAGGCCGCCAGTCGCATCGTGGACGCTGTCATAGAAAGAGTCAAGGCCTCAGGAGTTCTGATGGCCAAGGGGGGCATCCAACATGGGCCGCAGTCCAGTCCCTGGGAGTTGGGCCCCGCAGCTGGACAGCTGGCCGGTGTCTCTGCAGGCCACGTGAGTGCCTGCCTGCCTGGGGACACCCCACAGGTGGGCAACATCCAGGAGGAAGCCCCTGGTGCCCTTGAAGGATGTGATGCTGGAAGGAAGGAGCCAGAGCAGCTTACTCCACCTGTTCCAGGACCTGGGCCGGCAGCAGGTAAGCAAAGCAGAACCCCAGACTCACCTTTTGAGAAACGGGTTCCCTCAGAGTCACTGCTCTGTGTTGGTAGAAATACAGGTATCTTTGTTGTTGAGCAGTCTTGCCCGCGGTGGGCAGGGTGGCAGGAGGAGGGTCACTGCCACCTGGGGAGCACGTCATCTCGGGGCAGAATTGCTTCCTGTCATGTCGACTACCAGGCTGAGTGCCTCAGGCCGAAACTGTTCTGTCGGACACACCAGAAACGCTGTCCCTGCCCAGGCTGGGGGGCACTGCCTGGATCTCAGGTGCTCCCCAGTGGTCAGGGAACTTGGCATGTGTTTTGGCCCCACAGCACAACCCTCTCTCCCGAACCATGGCAAACAGTGTGAAAGTGGGTTCAACTTACCAGCCTGGAGTCCCTTTCGATTCCTGTCGGCCGCCTCTGTATCCTGAGTGAATTTAGAGGCCGTGGTCTCATGCACACCTCTAATCTTTGAAGCCTTGGCACGCCCCCCCAGGTGGTGGTGTTAGGTCACGGGCGAGGTGGGGCACCTCCCTCCTCTTCCTGCCGGAGCAGTGGACCTCCGGGGCCTCTGGGCAGCCGTCTGGGATGCCGGGCCAGCACGGCGTGGGGGATAGGAGGCAGGATTTCCGCCCCAGCCCTGTCTGCTGAGCTGCTGTCACGGGCAGACGTTGTGTCTGCTTATCTTGGTGAAGCAGCTGCAGCAAGCAGATTGCTCACACAGCAGCCCGTTCCATCTGTGGGTAACCATGGCCAGAGAGGACAGAGCCGCCGCTGTCGCTCACTGGAACCAAGCTCTCTGAATAAAACTGCTTGGGGGCTGAGGCTGAAGCGGACTGGACTCCGCCCGACTCCTTCCTGCTGTCACGGGCCCGTGCGACCCCTCCATGGCACTGCCTGTCACCAGGTACTTCGGCAGGCTCCTCTGTGCTCCCCTGGCGCGGAGGAGAAGCAGGAGCCTGTTCTGTTTTTTGTTTGATTGTTTCGCTGTTGTCTAATTTTGCAAATCCCTGTCAACGTGGTAGGTGTTGAGTGTGGGGTGGTAAATGGAAAGAGGGGACAAAATAGCAGGAGAAAGTTGTTGGGGGAGCAGAGCAGGTTAATAAACAGAGCCGTCATTTTCCCTGATAAGGAGCCCTTAACCATTTATAATCTGTTTTTCTTTTCCCCGGTTGAGGGATTTAAGAAACCTGAGGTGGTGTTTCTTGCACCTTCGGGTTTTCAGTTTCCATTAACGTTCTAAGGGTAGAAAGTCTGAGCAGCAGAAATGTGCCAGCTGCTATCTCAACTTAAACAAGAAGGTCTCTGGTTTTTAGAAGAAGGTACCGAAAGTCTATTTTGGGGGGGGCTGTGGCAAGTTGGCATTTCAGAAGGGGCGTGACTGTAAGCCGATGCGGGCTGTGTCCTTTTTGCTTGGGTGCTGTGTGTTTGGCCGCATGGGCTGGAAATAGTCCTCCCTGGCTCCGTGGTCAGAGTTTAATCCCAGCAAGTATGAGCTTTTTGAGGTTTATTCCAGAGCACTCTGAAAAAAGGTGAGAAAACCAGGGAGATTTTCAGAACTTTGATTTTTTTAATAGTACAAAAGCTACAGTAAGGAAGTTAAATGATTTTGAAGATCATAAGGTTTTAGGAGAGAAAATGAGATGTGTGAAGTGTCAACACCATCTCCGGGTTGGGGGTGGTGGGTATGTGTGGGCGACTTGTTCTGCCAAAAGGAGTCATAGTGCTCCGTGCTCGTGGTGTCTAACCAGAGAGAGAAGTGGCCAGTGAGGAAGAAGCCGGCGCTTTCTCCGGAGCAGGCAGGGCTGGGGAAAAGCCCCGGTGCCGTGGCCTTATGGAAAAAAGCACCTGACCGTGAGCTCAGAGCCGAAGGGTATTTTGTAGGAAGTTTGCGTGCCGTTGGTGAGGTTAGCCAGCTGTCCTAGGATGGAGACACAGGTTTAGCTGCTGCTTTAGAAGGGGCCCCATGGCACTGGCTTCGGTTTTTACATACTGCCTTAGCTAAAGCCACATGAACATCGAGATGGAGAAAACTCAGGGAGAAGAGGGGCCGTGGCCCTTCGCCCAGCAAGAGCATGGGTGTAGCCATGTGGGGCTGCCCACCCCACCCCTCGGCGCTCGGCAGTCACTGCTACCATGGTGACGGGTCGCTGCTTGCCAAGACACACATTTCCAGTTGATGGCATAGATAGTGAGGTGTGCCAAAGATCACATCCCCAAATAAGTAAAAGCCACCAACAATCAGAAAAGAATTTACTCTGACTCACTTAGAAGTGTTTTGATCAAGGAATACGGATTCTAAGGCGATTGCTTCGTCAGACGTTTCTTCTTAAATAATCACATTTTATGAACTGTAAGACAGACTTTGGTTCTTGGGCAAGGAAAGTTGTTGGCCTATTTTTAAGCTGCTAGTAAGATTATGTAATTATAAAGGCAAAGAGAGAAGAGTAGAGATTTAGAAATGTTCATTCCTAGGAACGTAACAGTTTACGTGTAAAGGAGATCTTTGCATGTGTCACTGTGTGCCGGTAGAATAAAATCTTAACTAGTACAATCGATTCTTTGGTGAACGGAACCTCCGCCCTTGGTGTAGGGAGCGTTCTCCTCTGCCAGGGTGGTGGCTGGACTCGATTAGTAACAGCCACAGAAAATGTCCCACGTGAAACCGAGTCAGTAGTGCCGCTTGTGTTTGGATTATCGCGATGACCTTTGACTCTTTATGCACCAACTTCTTTAAGAAGTGGTGTCAAAACCTAAATTTCCTCCAGACATCAGTTTTAGCACTTCCTTCCTGTCTTGGCTGAATGATGGTCAGGTAACACCAACCACTGCTGTCTTCTCTGTCAAGAATAATTTCAGAGAAAAATTTTTCTTAAGAAAAGGAGTTGCCACTTTGTGAATATGTGATGGTTGGGGAAGAAGTGAATTTTAAAATAATAAATAGCATAGGAATTGTTCTGTTTCACCACTCACAGTGATGGTGAGTGTGTGGTGTCCCACAGGCCTTGTCTTGCTCTCAGCGGCTCTTCCTGTGCAAACACGTCCATCTCTGGCCCCTTTGGTGGTGGGCAGTTTGGGCTACCTGGCCCCAGCTGGTAATCTGCCCCCTTAAAGGCACGAGTTTGCTTCTCCACAAGCCAGTCAGCTCCACACTCAGCTGTTCTGGAGAAGTCAGTAGTGAGAGTGGATGGTCAGTGGCGTGAATCGGAGCTCCCTTAGCTGCACCCACGGAGGGCTGGCTGGGAGACCATCTGGGCGTGGGGTGAAGGAGGACGAGGGGTCAGAAATGACCCTGGCAGCTGAATGAGAGGGAATACTTTCCACTTACGCCAAATGCAAACCAAACAAAACACACGAAACCAGGAGGTGTGTAAACAGTAAGACAGCAATCGATATTTCTGATGCACTTTGTAACCACCTCGTTTTCTTTAGAAATGCCAGATACGAAAGCTGAAGACGAAGTGGACTTTCGTGGTAACTCCAGGGAGAGCCCTGCTTCTGAGGAGGTGGCTGCGGGCAGCAGCGTCGCTCCTGCACCAGAGGCGAATCCAGGCCCGGAGACCCAGGCGGTGAGTGGCATCACATTTATTTCAGCATGAGAGGTTCTAGCCAGGTCTGCTCTGCAGCCTGGTTTCTTTCTGTGTTGGAGATTGCACCACCACCCCGCCCCTGCCGCCCGCCACCATGATCTCTTTTCCTACCTTTACACGAGCATATGTTGTTCTAGTGCAGCCTTCAAACATGGCGTGCACCTCACAGTAGAGTTCTGGAGAGTAGGATAAACAAGATGTTCTCTCTGAGCACAAAACTTCAGTTTTCATCAAGTTTAATGTGTCAGAAAATGAGAATTAACTGCAAAAAAGGATCTCTTGACCTTTCTTACACCCAATTCTCCTTTCTTTAAACAGAAACTGAGAGCTGCAAAAGTGAGATTGAGATTTGAACTTTGAGCTCAGTACTCTCTAAAATACAAAGAACATCATTTTTAGGGCCAAAAAAAGCTTCAGTAGGTTTTGTGCCTAACAGCTTTATTGCGCGAGAATTCGTAGGCCATCAAATCCACCCATTCGAGTAAGATGCACAGGTCATTTAGTTTTTAATAGTTAAAATCTTGCAGCCGTCACCACTGTCTGACTTCCGAACACCAGCATCACCCTGAAGAGACCCTCATCTCACTAAGTCTGCACCCCCAACCCCCACCTCCGTCCCCGGCAGCCACTCATCTACTTTGTGCCCCTCTGGCTTCGCGCCTTCTGGAACTTCACATGCGTGGAATTCGACAACATGTGGTCTAACATGTTTTCAGAGCTCTTTTTATTGGTGTGGATAAACCACGTTCTGTTGTACGCGTCGACTGTCCCCATTTTGGGACTGGTGAACGCGCTGCTACGGTGCCCATGTTCCTCTCTACTTCTTTTCTTATACCAGGTAGTAGGTTTGCCAGGTCACTGGGTAATCTGGTGTTTGACACCCAGTATGCTCTCTGAAGTATTCTTCTTCAAGGTCTTGAGGTTGTTTCTCCTATTGTTTATAGCTGTTGACTTTTAAAGAGGGCACTTAAATTTGTTGAAAGAAATGGTGCCCTAAGCTTTTGGTTACATGCTAATGAAGTTAACCTTCTGGAAATTCAGGTTATTGCGGTAAATATCATTGGCCCTCAAAAATCCATCTGCCTTTTCTAAACTTGGCAGAGCCCTCTCTCTTTGCTCTGCAGAGGGCCGAGTGGTATTTTTCCTTAAAGTTAACTCCAGTAGGCAAACAGAGCTGTGCCCTCCCCAGCTGGCTCGAGTATCTGAACTTGATAAACAAGCTTGGTTTTTGGAGCGCATTGTGGGGAGGTGCTGCCGTCGTGACCGCCCTCACTACAGATAATGTGTGACTAATGCGGGTGGCTCCTCCTGTCGCAGGCGTTATTCAGACCAGTGTTGCTTTGGCTCCTGGGGAAAGAAAAAAGGACACACCCTGCTTGAGTACATGTGTCTTTGTTTCCAGGAGCCCCTGAAACATGGAAAGAACACACTCATATCCTTGAATTCAGAGGCCTCCCTTTCTTAGCCCCTCATCTTAGTATTAGAGCCATTGGGGTCACTGCATGTGTCTGATGCCTGATGGGGGGGGGGTGGGGTCATCTTATCCGGACTGGGTCTTAGCAGGGAAAACGAAGAAAACGAAACATTATTTTAAAAATAAAAGCCCCCGCTCGCCTGTTCTCTTTCCCTCGTGTTTGCTCTCCTTTTTAAAGCTCAGAGAGCTCACTTTCCCCATTGGCCCGCACGCGCCTCCCCCCCCCCACCCCCCACCCCCCCCCCACCCCCCGTTTTACAGATAAAAGAATTAGCGCCCCTGAGACTCTTAGGACTAGCCCAGGTCGGGCTCAGCAGGAACGAGAATGGGAGTTTGGTTTCTGACCCGGGACAGCTGGTGGCGGTGCTCCAGGGGCGTCGGGGGTCAGGGCCGTGTCGCATGTCTGCCGCTGGCCTGCCTCCGCCTGGAGTTGGAAGAGGCACCTGGGATGAGGTTTTCAGTTCTTGAAGATTTTCAAGTCTGAGTCTAGAGATTTTGTGTTCACTTGTGATGTTGTGAAATCTGACCTCTCCTCTCCTCTCCTGTCAGGCCAGGCTGCTCTGCTTGCTCTGAGCTGAGAGGAAGAAACTTGGACACATGCGCTCATTTTTCCCATTCTCTCTTTCTCCCCCACTTTTAGCTCTTCAAATTCTGTATTCATCATGTGTGTTTTCATTAGATCCACAAATCTCTTTTTTTAAAGGAAAGATCGTAAATATTCTAGCCTCTGGGCCACACAGAAAACAGCTCTGGGCGTGTGCAAGCAAGAGCGCGACAGCTCCAATACGAGCTTGGTTTAGGGGCTCTAACGTGGCATTTCATAAAGTGCTCATGTGCCATAAAATGCTTTGAGGGGGAGTAATTTCTCATTTAAAAATGTAAAATCCGCTCCTAGGTTTGTCTACGCCCTGCACCGCAGCAGGTGGTGGGCTGCTGGCCTACAAAATAATTGTGTGCCAGCAGCAAAAGGAATGAGAAAGCAGTGGGCTTCTTTTCTAAACAGTTTCGCTCGTTTAGTGGTGAGAGCTCCAGTGACGAATGCAGGCGGGAGGCAGAGGGTGGCAGGTCTGGTCTCAGGCGCTAGCTCTGCTTGGCCTCTCCAGAGAGCACCTTCCTCCTCCCTTCATCTCGAGCTGTGGCCTTCTGAAATCGGTTGGCAGGCTGGAAGGGCTGCACCGGCTTGTGATGGTCGTGGAGGTAGAGTGGCATCTGTGTAAAGTTACACCAACCAGTCTTTCTGACATATGTCCCCTCTGTGTGTTGGCTTTGGGGACAGGCCAGTTATTGCGTCCCTGAATCATTGAATTGTCCTCCACCAGGTGTAAAACAATCTGTGTATCTTAGGCTTTGCTACCATCTTGGAAACCAAGAACAGTGATGCATTGGTAGCAATTTTCTAGTAAATGTAAAGAATCAGATTTTTTTATCCACGTAGAAGAACTGGGGTGTAGGCCAGACATGCCAAAGGAGGAGAGGATTCACCAGAGACAAGAGTGGGGAGCAGAACAGGTGGAAGAATCAATTTTAAATTCTCCTGGGAGGCTTCCTTTTTTTGTAACCTGCTCTAAACATGTATAGTCCTTGGTGCAGGGACCTCTCCTGAGGTGGCATTACAGAGTGCTGATGGAAAAAGGCTTCTGTTGAATTCCTATTTTATTTAATCCAGTAGTCTGATACCTGTCATACAAACAGAGCCGTAATTTTTCATTCCTTAATCTGCTTGACCATTGTTGTAAATCAGCCCTTACTGTAGAGGTCAGTGATGCTTAAAATCATGACCCATAAATGGATTAGGCAATGGCAAGATTAATGTTTGCCTCTATTCTGAGGGGAAACATGTGCTGAGTGCCGCAGGTTTCTCAGTAGAAGTCAACCCATCCTAACAGGCACTTCACTTTTCAGGAGGACGTGCCATTAATTAAAGACACTGTGGTTCGTTCATTCCCATTGGTTGCGGTTTCTTACTAGGGCTAATATTAGCTACAGTGTGATATTTAAGGTTGTCCCCTCTTATGAACCCTTCTAGTTTCAGAGTTCTCAGATTACCTTCTGTGTCTTTACTTTATTCTTTGTTGAGTTAGTATATATTAAACACTCAGAACAGGGCCTGGCACACAGGAAGTATGGTTTGGCATTATTGTTATTAATTTGTTTCTTCCGATTCCAAGATCCTTCTCACTTATTTAAGCAACCAGTGGCATATGGCAGTTCCTACAACAATCAAGACTCGTGGACATGAAGTTGGGAGATGTGGAGTTTGTTTAATTTCTGAGACCTGTAGAATTTGAATGACCCTTAAAGATGAGTAAAGAGGTCCAGTGCCTTAGCTTCATAAGAGAAGAAATGGATTCAGGGTGGTTAAGTCTTTTTGCCTCGTTTCACAACTAGTCAGCTTTGTTTAAGCTGAACTTAATATCCTAATAGTGTTTCCTAATAGTTCTATCCTAATAGTGTTTCCCTAGTAACTAGACTGATTTCCTGAAAAGTTGTCCCGAGGATGCACTTCAGGGGAGCCCAGGTGACTCGGCTTTGGGATGGGGTTTTGCATTTTAACAAGGCCTCCTGGATAACACCCATGTGAAAATCTCATCATTACATCTCCTGCTTTCCGTGAGAGTTGGAGAAGCTCCTTTGGCCTTTTTTGGAGCTAAGCTGACTTACTTTTAAGTCCCATGTTCTTAGAATGTTTAGCTGCAGCTAAAGAATAGCAAGAATTTGTTCACAGAGTTTAGTTTTGGTACAGAAACTACTGAGATTTTCCAGACCTGCATTTTATTTCTTAAAGAATGACATGACTCGGTGCAGAGATGACACTGAGTACTGAGTGCAGAAAAGGAAGCCTCCAGGGATGTGCTCCCTGGCCACCAGGATGTAACTGTGGCTCCTGCCCCCCTGTCACAGCTGAAGACTGTTAGCCACATGAAGACTGACTCCAGCAGGCAGTGTGTCCCGTCAGGATGCTCGTGGCCCTGTGGCCAGATGCTCAAGAACAAGTATGTTCAAACACAACCCTAAAATCCCATATTTTGAGTGGTAGGTTACATAACTCCGTAGCCAGACATCCGGTTAACTGAATTTCATTCTTTTTTAATATATTTTTTACATCATTTTTCATTTTTGCACAACGTATGCATTTTCATCTTGGTTATAGTCCCCATACAATTCCCACCCCTGCTGTTTTGATCCTACTCCCTCCTCCCTCCATCTCCCCCCCGTAGTGTGTCTCAGGTTCATAGTTGTTTGTTGATTTTGATTTTCACTTTCTTATAGTTATTCTTTCTCCTGGTCCCTTATTTAAGTTTTCTCGATTCCTGCTGTGAGTGAGACCATCCGGTATTTTTCTTTTTCTTTCTGGCTTATTTCGCTGAGCATGATCCCTTCCAGCGCCATCCATGTTGCTGCAAATGGCATGAGTTTATCCTTTTTGAATGCTGAGTAATATTCCATGGTATATATGTACCACATTTTCTTGATCCTGTCATCTACTTTTGGGCATTTGGGTTGT